TCAATGTATCTTGGAGAAGTTAGGTGTCCAAGTCGCAACATCTTACTACTGGGGTGCCTCAGGGTTCAGTTCTTGGACCACTTCTCTTCTCTGTCTACATGGCATCACTAGGTTCTGTCATTCAGAAACATGGCTTTTCATATCACTGCTATGCTGATGACACTCAACTCTACCTCTCATTCCATCTTGATGATCCGACGATGCTTGCATCTCAGCTTGTCTAACGGACATTTCTTGCTGGATGAAGGACCATCACCGTCAACTCAACCTTGCCAAGACAGAACTGCTTGTGGTTCCATCAAACCCATCGTTTCATCACAATTTCACCCTCCAGTTAGGCACATCAACCATAACTCCTTCAAAAACAGCCAGAAGCAAGATTGATTTTTAACGAGCCAAAAAGAATGCACGTCACACCTCTGTTTATCAATTTGTACTGTCTACCAGTAGCTGCTCGCATTAAATTCAAGGCATTAATGTTTGCCTACAAAACCACCACTGGCTCTGCACTGAATGAACAGCTATAAAAAGTAGCTTATAAATCCATTAGTAAGTTTATAAATCCATTTGACACTGCGCAGGACATTTAATATGAACCAGTGAAAACAAAATGGTGAAACATTTACAAAAATATAAGCTAACCTAAAATATGTATTTTAAGCTAAAATATTAAAACTAATTGAAAACAAGGACACATGGGCACATTTCTGCCAGGTGTGTGTGTTTATCTCACCTGCTCTCATTATCCAGGAAGACGGAGCTGCTGCTCTCGCCCAGAGCCTCGCTGACCGGCGACAGGCAGAAGGGCGAGGAGAAGGTGTCCGAGTCCGAACCAAGGGTGCTGTCCCGACTCACCTCGTCCGCAGAGAGCTCGCATGAGCCTTCATCGCCCTCTTCCAAAAGCTGCTGGTTCTGCAGGGCTGGCTCCGGCCCCTCTTCATCCTCCTCTTCCTCGGGGGTGGGTGGCGGGCGAGAGTGGCTCCGGTGGGCTCGGCGGCGGGGGTTGCGGTGGACGGGTGAGCTTTCGGGCGTGATGTAACGGAGGGCCTCCTCGTCCTGCCGCTGGATGCGAGAGTTGGGCACCCAGGTGAGGATGAGGGTGGAGCCGAGGGTCTCGTCTTTCTCCAGGTGCACACAGAGGTAACCTGGAGGAGGACACAGTCAGAAAAACTCAAAAACTAGCAGACTCTAAACTGATTGGCTGACTTCATGCAACTTGCCGTGGTCAGGGTGTGTTGGGGTAAAAGGCATCGAATATTTAAAAAGAGTTTTATTTGAGAAATGTTGTAACAAGGTTAGCTGTAGACCACAAGCAGAACTGCACTGTAAAAAAACCCCTGTAATTTTTCCTACATATTTTTGAAGTACACAAAATATAAATACAATTGCAAAAATAGACTCTGAATGTACATCTAACATCTGAAATAACACGAAAAACTGTGAATAATCATAACATTTATGTTTTTTGAAGGAAATGTTGTTTCTCACATTAAAAGACAAAAATACATTTAGATTAATACTGTAAATACATATTAAAATTAGACACAATTAGTGACAATTAACAGGAAAAAGCTTCATATGAAATAATCAGACCTTACGACTTTTGGACCAATAGAAAATCTGATCACTCACACTACCGTAGCAAAGTTTAGGGTCAGTATGATTTTTAAAATTAATTCATACATGTATACATCAAATTGATCAAAAGTGACAGACAAATCATTTATGATGTTACAAATTCTGTTCTTTCAAACCTTCTACTCATTAAAGAATCCTGGGGGAAAAAAATGTATCATGGTTTCCACAAAAATATTAAGGAGCTGATTCTGCTGAAAAATCAGCTTAGCCATCACAGAAATAGAATAGAATAGAACAAAAACATTTTACTGTTTTTTTATCAAATAAATGCAGATTCTTTTAAATTTAAAAAAAAAAAGGCTCAACAATATGGACTTTTCATATTGGAAAAAATTAAATAAAAAACAAATAAAATAAATTTTCAGTTGCCCTGCCAACATTTTTACTAGTGTGAATAATACATTATTTTGATATCAATTTATATCTATTTTTATTTTACAAATATTTATATTTTTAAAACGTTTCCAACCATTTCCTTTTTTTAAATTTAAGATCAAATAAAAAGAAAATCAGCAACAAACTGAAAGTTTTAAAGCTATAATGTAACTCATTACAAAAACATTTATAAAGACACTTTTGCTGAAAATTATGGCATGCAACTGATATGCCCATACCTTGTGAATAACTTAAGTGTATTTCAGTTAATGGGTGTGTGGTACCTGGGTGATGCTCAGGCAGTCCGGGCAAAGGCTCGGCCGGGTGAACACACACATTGTTCTTGGAGAAGATGATCTCTCCATCCAGCACGGTCCGTGATCCTCCCATGCCCACGTTAAACGTCAAAAGGTCAGAGGCTTTGGAGGATGCACGTCGCAGGAGTCGACCGAATGACATCTCCTCCAGTGACTGCTCACTGCTCCCATCCTCCGAGACAGAAACAACAAGACAACCTCCAATCAGGCGGCTTCTTACGTTTCTAAATAACCAGATTTACGATTCTCACTTGCCAAACAATAAATATAATACGATGAAAATGATATCGAAATCAGAATATCATAAGCGGCATCTCATTTCGGAGGCTGCGACCTCTGGAGGTCACATACGCCACTGAGGCGGTTTCAGTTAAGAAAAGCAACGGTGAAAAAATTGACCTAATCATGACAACATATGAATAATATATGAACGTCACAGTCAATCCATGTCACCTTCTTGAAACTAACAGCATGGTTACTTATTTGTGACTAAGCCACACACAGACACACCTTAAAACAAACAAGACACACACAAATGTGCCAACTCACTCACTGGAGGAACCCAAAGCTACAGCAACAGACGGAAGATTCAGCGTGCCAAATGTTATAAGACAACACAACGTTTATAAAACACTTTATGGTCCTTTTTTAACTGTCAGAGTCTCAATAATGTTCAAATGCTAACAAGCCATTCAAGAAAAGGGCAACTTCACATGAAACTTCAAGCAGCGAAAGCAGCGAAAGCGAATCTAAAACTACTTTAGACACAATTGTCTAATTCTGCATACATTTTTTATGACCTCATAAGTTGTGCGATTACTACTCCGTATTGTATTCTTTTTTAAAAGCCCTAAATCCAAAGCATTCATCTTCAGCGTGCAACTCGTCTTGCTCTGTTTGTGCTACAGACAGACATGCATCAAATTCTTTTCTAAAGGCTAGAATACAAAACACTTTGATCTGATCAGATTTTCAAACACTAGTCATTATACACTTGTCAAATTTGTAAATATTTACGAAGGAAAAACGGCATCATACACTAAACTGAGAAGATGCTTGATATCTTCCGAGTCTGAAGCTAAAAATAATCGGAGTCTGTGACTATCATAGTGCTGTCAAACGATTAATCGCATCCAAAATAAACGTTTTTGTTTACATAATATATGTGTGTACTGTGTGTGTATATATTATGTATATATAAACACACACATGCACGTAAATATTTAAGAAAATGTGTTATATTTATATATTAAATACTATATTTATATGAATATATATATATACATGTAAATAAATGTAAATATTTTCAAAATATATACTGTATGTGTGTGTATTTATATACATAATAAATATTCACAGCACACACATATATTCTGTAAACAAAAACTTTTATTTTGGATGCGATTAATCGCGATTAATCGTTTGACAACACTAGACTATCATATAAAATCACGATTCACGTAGTGTATCAAATCTGCTGACTGGCTCTGACTTTTGGTATCCAGTGTCAACAACTCCAGACTGTAAATTGGGGCAAAAATTTGAGCAGAAGTCATACAGAGTATATTCCAGATTTAAGTGAGTTACTTGAGCCAGTAAGCATTGCAACTACCTGGCAACCCTATCATAAAAATCTGCTGTAAAATACTATAAAATTGTCATTTCGCAGGACTGTTTAAGTGCCTTGCAAAAACACTCAAATGTGATAAAAAATTGTTTCACATTTTTTAAAGCATCTAAAACATATACCTTACCTTAAACACTGGTCTGTCACAGACTAAGCATAAAGTTTGTTAACTAAATGGAGGCTGAATGGATCAAACAAAAACTAAAAGACAAAAAAAAGTTTCAAATAATATCTTTTTTTTTTTTTATTGAAGGTGCTTCAGATCATTGCAGCCCCATTTAACCCCTTGCTTGTCTTTGAACTGCCCTGCAAAAACACTAAAAGCCGATTAAAAAGGGTTTCAAAATGTTAAAGCATCTAAAACATACACATTCTCTTAGAAATCCATGTTTTAACCTGCATATTTGTCAACTACTCAAAAACAAATTACGCAACATTCACAGTCATCCATCACTCGTGACAAGAACTTCCTCAGGACGGACGTTTCGTTTCAATCTTCCTCTTCTGTCTAGTGATTTTATTTTTTCCTGTCTTAATTAACGGTACCCAACTCTTCCAGAATGGCATTGCTCATTTGTGCTGATTAGAGGTCAACTTCCTGTCACAAACCAGAGAACATGAATGTTTCTAATTGCGAAAAATTATGAACAATAAAATAGTTTTAAGGCTGAAGAGACTCATTAAACAACCAGTGAACTTCCAAAAAGAAACAAGCCTCGTTAAAACAAATGAACAAATAAACCCTATACTACTGAATTTAAGAGAGGAACAAGTTTGTCCGGTAAAGTCGCCTTAAAACTTAGGAATTCATCTCTCCTTCAATTTTACAGTGACTATTCAGGTGGATGCATGGCCGCATATATCATATGGCTGTAATTACAGCGCAAACACGACTCCAGTGAGTAAACATGCCATATCATTGCATTGCACTAGCAGACCCAAATCAGGCAAAAGTGAGTGTGTACTATCAGGAGCAGTGCACTAAGAAGAGAGTGTCAGCAGTAGAAGCATGTGCTGTTTCTTCTCAGAGCTGTCAGCACCGCTGCAATCTCTCGCTGTGGGAGACATCAAGCTCCATACAACAGAACAACAACTACTTCACCAGGAATGCACACGGAAGATAATCTGGCGTTCAATTGTTGCTATTCAATCTAATATTCATTAAAGGGATAGTTCACCCAAAAATGAAAATGTGATGTTTATCTGCTTACCCCGAGGGCATCCAAGATGTAGGTGACTTTGTTTCTTCAGTAGAACACAAATGAAGATTTTGAACTCAAACCGTTGCAGTCTGTCAGTCTTATAATGGAAGTGAATGGGAATCACGGCTTTGGGAGTCAAAAAACATACACAAACAAAACCAAATGAAACCCTGCGGCTCGTGATGATACATTGAGGTCTTAAGACACGAAACGATCATTCTGTGCAAGAAACTGAACCGTATTTATATTGTTTTTTTACCTCTGATCAGGTGCAGGGTTTAATTTGGTTTTGTTTGTGTGTTTTTTTGAAGAAACAAAGTCACCTACATCTTGGATGCCCTGGGGGTAAGCAGAAAAACATCACATTTTCATTTTTGGGTGAACTATCCCTTTAAATGCACGATAAAATTAGCTCAGTCAAAAATAAAAATTCCCTCCAAAGATGTATGATTTTGCTTCTTCTGTGCAACACAAATGGAATTCTGAAGAATGACCAACCAATGTAATGATTTAACAGCACTAGGCAAGATATGACATGACACTTGTCTTTTAATAAATCAGCTGATGCATTTCAGAAATGGCAGCACATTTGGTTGCATTTTATTTTGTAACTTGACTGGAACAGACAGCGAGAACCTGTCAGAGACGCTCTAGGCAAATGTGTGTCATATGCATAATGTTTGCTAATTAAATGGAGGCTGAATGGGTCTCCAAAATAAAAAAAATTAATAAATGAAAACAGGAAATCAATCAAATTAAAACAATATTTTTTTCTTAAATTGAATTAAAGGTGCCAGAAAGCTGTTCCAGCTCAATTTAACCCCTTGCTTGTATTTGATCACTACATGCCAAGTTTGACTATCATGCAAAAGTTCAAATAAAATTTAAGAGCTATGACACAGGGCATTATTATTATTACTTTTTTTTTTTAGCAAAAAACAACTTCATTTCATTTGGTTCCGTTCCTGTTCATGAGCCTACTTTTATTGAGTTTTTTTTTTTTTACCCTTTTTGGAGCTTGACAGCCCCTGATCCCTGTAATGGAAAAAATAAATGGCGTGGGATTTCCTTAAAACAGTTTTCACTAGAAATTGTTAATAAGTTCAATGAACAATTACAAAGAAACAGCAAGTAACACACTGACTTAAACATGAAATTCTACAGTAGAAAATATTTTCTTATAAAAACATACTCCAATCTTCTTAAAAACATCTCTTTGGGACCCACTTTATATTAAATATCTTTACGAACACAGTTCATGGATTGCTACGATGCACTTATTGTGTAGCTACATGTATTTGCATTGTAGCTACTTATAATAATTAAAACATACCTACATATAAACTGGAACATCTTATTGTGTTCCACAAAAGAAAAATAACATGCACGTGAGACAGAATTTAATTTTGTGGGTGCACTATCCCTTTAAGAAGTGTCATAAAATAATGTATTGGGGCAAAATCATATTAATCCCAATGGCAAAGTTACAAGTCTTCAGCAATAAACTGTGTCGTGTGCATGCCCTAACATAAACATTACAGCAGGTAAATATAACAAGTTATCAAAAAATATAGATATTGATAATGTTCAGGCCTGTATCAGCTGTTTTGTCCTTTTGATCAGGGTGACTGAACTGCATCAGTAATGCATTTTAATGCACAAGCCCTTTTGTCCCACTTTGAAGGATCACATATCTCGTGTGAGGATTGATTTCAGACGGAAGTCGCGCTGGCGTCCCGTTATATCTGTTATACAGTGTGCACTGCTGTACCCATATGGGACGCTAACTAAACTACTCCCAGCAATGACAGCCGTAGGAATACATCTATAATCGAAAAGCACACATGCAGCAGTCTTACCTTCAGCACCAGAAACGATTACAGCCGTCGCGACACGTCCATATCAGAAGAAGCGGCGCGTCCGATCCAGGCTCCGGTGAATGACGCGCGTGTTTATCGGTGACACTTCACTCCGCACGCCGCGGCTGACGCCGGACTCGACGCTCCGCCCCCCGACATTCCGCTGCTTCCGGAACGACGCTGCGCGAGTCTGACCGCAACGCTCGAGGCAGGACACGGGTCCCGCTTGTAATAATCTGTAGACAACAGAAAACACAAGATGCACACGTTTCTGTTGTTAATGCATTTATAAAAAAAGTGTATAAAACTAAACACACCTGAAACTTGCACAGACGTACTGTAAGAAATCAAAAACTAAATCATTGTGGTGTCGAATTACTAAATTTTACATTTATAATGAAACGTGTGTGTGTGTGTGTGTGTGTGACCCTAGACCACAAAACTAGTCATAAGGGTCAATTTTTTTAAATTGAGATTTATAGATCATCTGAAAGCTTAATAAATAAGCTTGTTAGGATTGGACAATATTTGGCTGAGATACAACTATTTGAAAATCTGGAATCTGAGGGTGCAAAAAAAAATCTAAATATTGAGAAAATCGTCTTTAAAGTTGTCCAAATGAAGTTATTAGCAATGCATATTGCTAATCAAAAATTAGGTTTTGATTTACAAAGTAGTTTCATCGAACATGATCTTAGGCATAAAAGAAAAATTGATAATTTTGACCCATACAATGTATTGTTGGCTATTGCTACAAATATACCCCAGCGACTTAAGACTGGTTTTGTGCTCCAGGGTCACATATGTGTGTTAAAATATAATTATATAAAATATACAATTCTAATATATTACATATTTAAATCTGAGCTTAATTTTAAAAATGCAATGCCCCTACTATGCATATGAAGCTATATGTTTATTTGTATAATCTAATCTTATAAGCAGAAGAAGACCAATCTTCTTCTTCTTATTATTTCTCTGACATGTAAAATAAAACCTTGCTACGTGTACTGCGTTAGGCTAACTGAGACTTATTATAGCACTTGCATATAATTGCTCTTTTGTTGGTTTTGATTGCTTCTATTGTCATCATTTGTAAGTCGCTTTGGATAAAAGCGTTTGCTAAATGACTAAATGTAAAATATAAAGGAAAAACTTATGGGTTATGTGAAATACTGATTATTCTGATTCTTCTATCATGGTCACACAACAATAAAACATTAAGAACATATAATACAAATAAAGATTTATTTGACAGCAAAAACGATATTTAAATGGCAATGTACAGTAGAAACATACTGTTAATCATAACTAAAACTTTATATGTGCAATTGCATTAGCAAGGAACATATACACAGCAGTATCACAGCAGAGTTTTCTCATCAGCTCCACTGTACTGTGATCATGGCTGTCATGGGTGAGTCCAGACCGGACACTGTCAGAACCTGCAACACACACACACACACACAAATTCACTACTTCATGACAGCTTTTTAAGATCAACACATTTTAAAGATCAATATGAAACACAAGCACTTGTTGCATACCTTGGTGTCTGGGCTGTAAGAGAAGTCATGAACCTTTTGGCCATTGGCCCACACGGCTGTAGGTGAAGCCTGAACCCCAAAAACACGTACTTCCCCGAGGACCAAACCATCGAGAGATCCATTTAATTTGACTGGCTTACTGACCACATAAGACTGCAGGGAAATATGAAAGATCAAACAAACAATAGAATACATTTCAAATTAATGCACATATTGACCATAACTTTTGAGAATTCTCAAATAGTCCATTTGTTTAAAGGGTTTCAAATGATGTTCTAGTTGAAGGAATAGTTCACCCAAAAATGAAAAAAATTGTTGAAAAAGTTCCTCACCATCCGGCCATCCAAGACGAGTTTGTTTCTTCATCAGAACAGATCTGGAGAAAGGCGTTTTAACTTTAAATCCTCACTTCTGGTCAAAATACTAGTCTATAATCCATTGTGGTGTATCCTCCAGTTTTTGCTTGCAAAAAATTCACTCCTGATTCAGACAAAATGACTTTTTCAAAGGAGAAAGCAACAGTATGGATATGATTCATATTTTAGCCAGAAGCAATGGATTGAAGTTAAAAAAATGTTTCTTCACAAGACATCAGTTGTTGGATTGGAGTGGTGTGGATTATTGTGATGTTTTAATCAGCTGTTTGGACTCTCATTCTGACGGCACCCATTCACTGCAGAGGATCCATTGATGAGCAAGTGATGTAATGCTACATTTCTCCAAATCTGTTCTGATGAAGAAACAAACTCATCTACATATTGGATGGCCTGAGGGTGAGTATATTTTCAGCAAATATTCATAAAAAGTGCATTGATCTGCCCGTCAAAGGTCTGGTAAACACAACGCTTGCTGTTTTTCCATTTTAATGCCTGATGAAGCAATTCACTTTGGATTGCTCCAACACAGTATAACAATAGGAAGCAGATGTTCAATAGAAAAAAACCCTCATCCAAACCATTCAAGTCAACATGAAGCCAAAATTCACCCTATTTTGTACCTCTTGAGCAAAGAACAGAACATATGAATAATGTCCATGCTCAAAAGTGTCCAGACTTTCCCCATCATCCCAGAAGAGCTCCCCTTTAGCCCAATTTCCCACAGACAGTGCCACGATTAGGGTGAAAGGATTCCTGCGAGATGCTGTAGTCGTCAATGCAGGAAGCTGAGAAACAAATAGGAAACGGCCAAATTCACTTGCTACACAACATAAAATAAATGAACAAATATCGCTAGATCTAGTCTTTACTCCACCTGCTGCGGGATGATGCTCCCTTCTCTCACATGAATGTTAATGGTGTCTAAAGGAGCAGGGAACAGAATGTATTGCCCTTTACTGCAATATGCTTCCCCCTATGAGAAAACACAGAGGATTTAATCACATATAAATAGTCATTTGTCTTAAGGGGTCATATAATAAGCTTTTGAATTACATTGTAACTTTGTAAACATATCACAATGTGAAGCAGGCTTTGAATTTTATTTGAAGGTATCTACAAGGTATATACCAGAAAGATTAATACAGTGGGTCAAAGGGAGGGTGGAAAATGGTTACAGTATCAACAACTAAAATATGACAAGTACTATAGCATTTTGTACTAATATTATAACACTTTGCAAGTTTTAATTTGTAAACATTAGGAAACTACTGTACATTAGTTAACATGAACTAACAGTGAGATATACCTAATTATTAATTATAAATAAATATTTCGTTAATCTAAGGAAATGTTAATCTTACTTTCATTTTTAAAATCAAAAGCTGTTAATAATATTAGCAGTTAATGTTATTCGATGGACCTGAGCTAACATGAACTAACAATGAACATTTGTATTTTTATTAACCAATGTTAAAAAAGATGAACAAATACTGTAATAAATGCATTGCTCATTGTTAGTTAAAGGAGTCCTATTATGCTTTTTCACTTTTTTTATAAAAAAAGATCTAGAAAGTTACTAATCTCAAAGTCCACTCCAAAGGGAGATATTTCGTTTTTTAAAAATCCCTTTTCAAGAACTACAACAAACGGCTCGTTTGGACTACAGCGTTTGATTTCCGGGCTTTGTGATATCACAAAGCGGCTCATTAGAATATCATTACAAATAATTCCCGCCTACAGAAATTCGAATGGTTGGGGGGTGGGGAGGGGCGAGGTTGTGGTTAGAACATTTGGTTGAGTGAGTGCATCAGACGAGACGACTAAGAAGAGCTATTATGCTTTTTCACTTTTTTATAAAAAAAGATCTAGAAAGTTCCTAATCTCAAAGTCCACTCCAAAGGGAGATATTTCGTTTTTTAAAAATCCCTTTTCAAGAACTACAACAAACGGCTCGTTTGGACTACAGCGTTTGATTTCCGGGCTTTGTGATATCACAAAGCGGCTCATTAGAATATCATTACAAATAATTCCCGCCTACAGAAATTCGAATGGTTGGGGGGTGGGGAGGGGCGAGGTTGTGGTTAGAACATTTGGTTGAGTGAGTGCATCAGACGAGACGACTAAGAAGAAGTGCTGCTGCAGAGTTAGTGCATCAGAGAAAACCAAGAAGAAGAGCTGCTGTGCTGTAGCGTCAAATTTTCGGAAATGCCTCTTTTGCACAAAATGGGACATCTTGTCTTTGACCCATATTTTTATATATCTATATCCAGGGGTTAAATTGGGATTGTGGGGGGGAGGGGGATTTGTTATGTGTATGCAAAGCCTACAAAATAATTTAACAAATAATTAACAATTAACACATATATTGTAATTATATCAATTGACAAACTGTAAAATATAAGTTGAGAGAGCCCTCTGTTATGAACACAAAAATGCTGAACAAAATCATTTTAGATGCTGGCAGTGTGCAAAGCTACACCTGTCTGCAGGATTTTTAAAATCAAAAATCAAGACTTTTTAAGACCTGCAAAAATTTATTTAAAAATAAAAATTAATACCATATTGTCACGAATCCGGTCCGTGGGCTTCAGGCCGATTGCCACTAGAGGTTATTCTCCCATTACATTGACTCTCACACCACACAGATTTTTCACTCCCCAAGTGTTAGCTGCCTTACTGAGACATTCCGTGTTTTCGTCTCGTGTATTGTTTTGCGTGTATCCTTGTTTAGCGGATAGCTACCTTACCGAGCCTGTTTAAGTTTTCATAGTTTTCTTAGTCTAGTCTTAGTCTTGCCTTGTCTGTTTTCCTGGTCTCTGATTCACGCCACGTCTCTTGGATTAATCCTTTGCTTGCTGTTTCTGACTCTGTTTGCCCCTGCTTGGACATTTGCCTTCTACCTGGATTTATCTCTTGTCTTGCCTTCGATATACCCGTTTGCCATTGTCTGACCCATGCCTGTTAAAACCACG